TTTCTGTAGGAGATGCTTATATAGCGGTTAAACCTCCTGCATTTACTGGTACACGTAGTTCTGTTACCTGTCGTAAAATCTCAACTGTTTTTTTGAGTGAAACTAGAGCTTTTACTTTGTTAATCTTTAAACTTTTGGGGAGATATAAATGAAACAGTCTGGTATCTCTAGCTTAGTGAAGAAGTTGTTGTTAAGTGCCGTCAAGTTGATTCCACTCAGAGTGACCCTGTACAGGGTTTCTGAGAAGTAGATGGTGGATTTGGACCACAGACATGGTGGTTCACAGTTCAGTGCTTATCCTATAGTACCACACCAGGAGTCCAGTGTAGAAGTGGGTGGATTAAAAAAAACAAAATATCACAGAAACATTGATAATTTGACCTAGAATTATCTAGTCTTCTCAAATTATTTATATGAGCCATCTCAGAGTTATTGAAACAGTAAACAACACCAAACACTCAATATTGTTGTTATTGTATGCTGTCGATTTGGTTCCAACCTATAGCAATCCTGTGTAGGGTTTCCAATGAGTGGCTGGTGAGCTTGAACTGCCAACTTTGAGCTTCAAACCAACCTCGCCGTCCAGTGCATTAACCCACACAGAGCCACACAAACAGTAGTGAAGGGCTATTCTAACTTGTATTAAAATACATTGAAACAAAGCATCATCTTTTGCAGGAGAATTTTGGCTAGGACTGAAAAAGATTTTTTATATTGTAAATCAGAAAAATACCAGTTTTATGCTGTATGTGGCTTTGGAATCTGAAGATGACAGATTCGCCTATGCATCATATGATAATTTTTGGCTAGAGGATGAAACAAGATTTTTTAAAATGCACTTAGGACGGTATTCAGGAAATGCTGGTAAGTTTACTCCTAAACTTTTTCAAAATATTTGAATATAGCTGACTCAATATTATTGGAGATAAAAATGAATTTCTTCTAGTATATGACACATATAATAACAAAACAGAGAAAACTGATCATGTCTTGAGTATGGAAGCTGTCCAGTGATCATTGTGCCAACTTATGATTTTGAGGTACTTCATGTCTTTACAATCTGCACATGCAACATTAGTTGATTCTTTGGACAGGTAGTTTGTGAGGTAGGCTGAAAGTTTCAGAGAGGCTGACATTTAGACGTTGTAAAATATGTGAGCTGATCTCCATTCTTTCTGCTTTACAGATGAGGTCACTTGGCAGACTAAGTGACTTGTCCAAGATTCCCAACTCATCACAGCTGAACCAGGGCAAGAAGACAGATTGATATAACCACTAATTTAGTGGTCTTTTCACTAGACGTTAGTGTATCTGCTCATTTCCAAATAATTTTGTTTGTTAGGACATAAAAACTTTTCATGTTAAATTTATGTTTTGATGCTGTAACCTGAAAAGTACTTGAGTTAAGAAACTAAATTCAACTGTCATATTGTTGTAGATAATAGTACTTGTCATTATGTATGGTCAATGTTAGAAATAAAAAGGTGAATGAGATATGCTTTCAGCTCGGTGTCTGATCACAACAGAATAGGACAGAAGCAAAACGGAAACAAAATATTGATGGAGATTTGGAGGTAAAGAAGAGGGATAGAATGATTCCAAATGGTGACATCTGGAAAGATTTTAGAAAAGAGTAGCTTCCAACAAGGAATTAATATTATATTTAATTTAGGAAGATTTAAAAAAAAACTGCATACTCCTGGCGAATCTTATTCACTAAGTTTGGGCTCAGGTACCCACATTCTACAGATGGATATATTGGCAGCTTTGCAGTTGAAATTTATGGTCTGTGCTTGGAGGAATGGACAGGTTTTTGGCATGTGAATGTTGGCAAAGGAAGCAGCTTCCAGTGAAGGTACATAGGGAGGAAAATTACAGAGCATGGAGAGTGTCTGGTATGATTTTCATCTATGATAGCTGAAGGACTTAGGCCTGGGATACAAGGTGAAAGTCTGAAATTTAAGTCTTGATATGTAGGTAAATATTTAGAGGTAGTTCTCAACTTGCAATGGATTCCATTCAGAGGACTCCTTTGTAAGTTTATTCTAATGGCAGTTGAGTACCTCATTTAAAAAAAAAAAAAAAGTTTTATTGTTATTGCCTTTCCTTATCAGTATGTTTATCTTTGGGAGTTGGAAACATTACATCAAGAATGAAAACACCAGCAGATTACATCCTACAACATTGTGTGGAGTACATACATATTACAAAAAACAAAAATGGAAGGTTGTAAGTGTGGTTTGTTGTAACTTGTGTATGTCCTAAGTTGAGGAATACCTATATACGATTTTCAATGTTTCATCTCTGAAAATGTAACAAAAGACTACTATTGCCATTACATTGAGTCCATTACAACTATATTGTCCATTACAAGCTATAACACAGAGTAGTACTGTCTCTTAGGGTTTTCTCAGACTGTAAACCTTTACAGAGGCAGATAGACTCATCTTTCTCCTGAGGAAAAGATGGGTTTGAACAGCCAACGAGGTTTTCGTTAAGAGTGCAAAACTCAAACCAAACACACTGAGTCAATTTTGACTCATAGCAACCCTATGTAAGGTTTCTGAGACTGTAAATCTTTATGGGAACAGGAAGCCTCTTCTTTCTAGTGGAGCAGCTGGTAAACTTGAACCACTGACCTTGCAGGTAGCATCCCATAGAATGTGAAAGTATCTGGCTGACTGATTGGAAGAGATCCATATTTGTGCCCATTCCAAAGAGAGGTGACCCAACAGAATGCGGAAATCATTGGACAATCTCTTTGATATCTCATGCGAGTAAAGTTTTACTAAAGGTAATACAGAAACGGCTACAATCATACATTGAC